TAGGGGATGATGGAGGATGATGATGATGATGATGGAGGATGATGGAGAAGTTGAGTGGGGGAGAGATGGAGTGATGATAGTGATGGAGGATGATGGAGGATGATGATGGGGTGATGGAGGAGGATGTGAGAGTATGGAGGATATGATGATGGAGGATGAGGGTGATGATGATGATGGAGGATGTGATGAGGATGATGGAGGGTGATGGGGGATGATGGAGGATGATGGGGGATGAGGGTGATGATGATGATGATGGGGGTGATGATGGAAAGGGGTGGGGGTGATGATTTGGAGGATGATGGGATGATGGAGGATGATGATGGATGGAGGATGATGGAGGAGGATGATGATGATGATGATGGAGAGTGATGATGATTTATGATGGAGGATGATGATGATGATGGAGGGATGATGTGATGATGGAGGATGATGATGGATGATGATGATGATGATGATGGGAGATGATGATGATGATGAGGGATGAATGATGGATGGAGGTGATGATGATGGGAGGATGATGATGATGGGATGAGATGATGATGATGAGATGGAGGGTGGGGTGATTTATGATGATGGAGGAATGATGATTGATGATGATGGAGGATGGGAAAGATGATTGGAATGATGGGATGGATGATGATGATGATGATGGAGGATGATGATGATGATGAGGGTGTGAGGGATGTAATGAGGTGATGGATGTGTGATGGAGGTTATGATGGGTGAGATGATGATGGGGATGATGGATGGGGGTGATGATGATGGAGGATGATGATGGGGATAGATGATGATTTAGGGATTGATGATGAGAGGGGGAGATGATGATGATGTTGGGGATGATGATGTGATTGGAGGGAGGAGTTGATGATGAGGATGATGATGGTGGATGGATGATGATGATGATGGAGGATGTATGATGATGTGGGGGATGATGATGATGATGGAGGTGATGATGATGATGATGATGGAGGATTTATGATGATGATGTCTGTATGATGGGTGATGATTTATGAAAAGGTGATGATGATGGAGGATGATGATGATGATGATTGATGATATGGGGGGGATTATGATTTATATGGAGGATGAGATGATGATGATGGAGGATGATGATGATATGATGGAGGTGGGGGATTTGATGATTTTGGGGGATGATGATGATGATTTGGGAAAGGATGTTGATGATGGAGGATGATGTGATGGGGATGGATGTGATGGAGGATTGATGATGATGGGAGGATGATTATGATGGGAGGATGATGATGATGAAAGGAAGTGATGATGATGATGTGGAGGTGTTTAGGAATTGATGAGGAGATGATTGGTGGATGAGATGATGATGAGATGTTGGGATGATTTATGATGATGATGAGGATGAATGATGGAGGATAGATGATTGATGATGATGATGAGGGGATGATGTTTATGATGATGATGAGGTGGGTGATGATGATGATGGGGATGATGATTGATGATGTGATGGAGGATGATGATGATGATGATGGAGGATGATGATTATGAGGATGATGATTTGATGATGATGATGTTGATTGATGATGATGAATGATGGAGGTTTATGATGATGATGGAGTGATGATGATGATGAAGGATGATGATGATGATGATGATTTGGAGGATGATGATGATGGAGAAAGATGATTGATGATGATGGAGGAGATGATGGGAAGGAATGATGATGATTTATTTATGATGATGGAGGATGATGATGATGGAGGATGATGATTTATGGAGGATGATATGATGATGTGAAAGGGTGATGTTGATGATGATGGAGATGATGTTGATGATGGAGGATTGATTGATGATGATGGAGGATGATGATGGAATGTGGAGGATGATGATGGAGGTGATGATGAATGTTTATGATGATATGATGATGATGGAGATGATGATTTGATGATGATGAGGGATGATGATGATGGAGGATGATGATGATGTATGGAGGATGATGATGATGATGGAGGATGATGTGTGATGGAGGATGATGATGATGGAGGATGATGATGATGTGATGGGGTGATGAGATGAGGAGGATTTATGATGATGGGGAGGATGATGATGATGATGGAGGATGATGATGATGATTGAGGAGATGATGATGTATGATGGAGATGATGATGATGATGCGGAGGATGATGATGATGTGAGGTGATGAGATGATGGAGATGAGATGATGATGGATGATTTATTGTGATGATGATGATGAGGTATATGTGATGATGATGGATGGATGTGTGATGTGATGATGTAGGATTGAGATAAAATGAGGATTGTATGATATGATGGAGGATGATGATGATGATGATGTGGTGTTGATGATGAAAATGAAATATATGATAATATGGAGATATGATGTAGATCAGATGTATAATGACATGATTATGTTATAAGAGGAAATGATGTGAATGAGAAATATGATATAAAAGTATGTTATGGGTGAGATGTGATGATGATGGAGGATTTTGATGTAATGGAATATGATGAAAATTTTGGGGGGATAAATGAAAAAAATAAAATATATGAAATAATTTATATTGAATGATATGGGATGATGATTATGAGAGGGGTGAAAAGGGTTATTAGGGGTGTATGATGGTTGCGTGAAAGTTGGAAATTGATGGAGGTATTGATGTGATGGAGGGTGATATGAGAGAATTATTATGGGGATGTGTGATATAGGGTTTGAGAAGTGTTAATGGAGGAGAAAAAGAAAAATGATGATTAAAAGGAATTTGAGTGTTTTTAGGTGTTTTTATGTGATTTGGATTTTGTTATTGATGAAAGGAAGAATATTAAAAATTAGAGATGATTTTAGGTTTAGATTTTGGAAAAGTTTAAAAGATGTAAAAGGAGAAAAGAAAAGTTTGGATTATTGATGTATTTTTTGGTTTTTTTTTTGTAAACAATTTTGTAATCAAATAAATTTTATTTTTTGTGATAAAAAAATTTGTGTAAAAAACAAAAGTGATATTTGTACCTTCACCTTACTTTTTGGCAAAATGTTATTTAAAAAAAATTTGTTAAAAAAAAACAAAAAAATTAATTTTAAAAAAAATTTTCCATCCCCCTTTTTAAAGGGTTTTTTTTTTCAAAATTTTTGGCTCTAATTGGGAATCCGAAAAATTTTTTTTGGGGGCAAAAAATAAAAAAAAAAATTTAAATTTTTGAAAAAAAAATTTTTTTTTTTTTGAATATTTGGCGACATAGAATGACAGTTTCAGAGAGGGGCCTGAAACAGTCAAAGGGTTAACCCTTTCAGGGTCCGTCCCGTAGATCTACGGCTTTACGTTCAGGGTCCAAACCGTAGATCTACGCCATGAGCTCAGCTCACTCTGATAAACTGTGAGTGGTACATTTGGGCCTAGATATGAGAGAATACATCTATGTGGTATGTGTGCACCACATAAAACAGATCCTGCAGCACACTGTGTATAATGAGAGAAAAAAAATGAAATCATGATTTTTCGATTAAAACAGCAACTTTGCAGTGTTTTTACGTATGTTTTTTATAGTTGTATTTGCGATTTCTTGGTCTCATTTGATAGAATGGAAGACATATTACAGAAATAGAGATGATTTTGATTGGTTTTAGCACTGGAAATGGCTTGAAACTGAGCTCAAAGTAGCAGAAATGTTAAATTTTTGCGATATTCAAGAGTAAACAAACGACCTCACACATCTAATACACACCAGCTGGTGGGTCTAATATACATTCACAAATATGGTGATGATATTTATACAATTATTACAGTATTGCATAACAGTAAATCTTCTATTTTTTGGTGTGAATAAAAATTCATTATGTGAATAAAAAATCAAAATGGAATTTATTTGTAAAGCCTCAAAACATAACTAATGAACAGAGGAAATGTTTTAGTTTAGTGCAGGAATGCCTACATTGTTCATTCTGGACCCTATTTTGAAATTGGAATATTTTGAACTTTGTGTTAAATTGGCCAAATTAACAATTTCCGATCACTTTATTTTGTAGTTGAAACAGTTGACTTGGCGATTTCTTGTGCTCAGTCGATAGAATAGAAGTAATACTAGTAAAATAGCTAAGAATTTGGTCGACTGGAATGATGTAATTGGCCTAAAATGGAAGTCAAAGTCGGCAAAATCGCCGATTCATAAATATCGCTGACACATCAAAATTCGCGAGAGCATAATTTCGTCAATTTTCCACCAAATTTCGTACTTTTTGTTTTATTACCTTCACAAAAAGATTCTCTACGATTTCATAAGAAAAAATAACAAATTTTTTTTTTTAAAATTCTTGGACACTGGTGCGTGACTCCAGATTTGGGCCTTGGACCCTGAAAGGGTTAAACATAGGCTCACTATTACAAACACAGGTAGCAAGTCAAGGTCTGTTGCACCTGGCCATCCCCAATATCAGCAATAGGAGTGATGGAGACGAATAGTTTTTAGGACCTGATGAGCTGTTGGAGTGTTAGGGGGGTAATATTTTGTGAAGGGATTCAGGGAAACCAGTTAGCCAGACTTGAGTCCTGGAGGTGGGAAGTACAGTGCCTGCATTTGAAAGGAGGGGTTTGGGATATTGGTTGTTTAGAGTGTCATCTAAACTGTTGTATCTGGGCACCTCTGCAAAGACAGTGATTATGTGTGAATGATAGTGAAAGAGTTTCTTTTTTGGGTCACCCTGCCTTGGTGGGAGATGGCCAGCGTGTTAAAAAAATTAGTTATGTGGAAATATGAAAATTTAAGAAATACCATAGTGAGAAACATCATATGATTCATGAGTTATAATGATTATAATGGCTAACATACAGAAGGTGGTATTTATGAGTGAGTATGATAACTTACATAGAGTTGATGGCATTCATGATTGATTATGAGAGTGAGTATGAAGATCAACATGAATAAGGTAGTATTTTCTCCTTGTGTTTATTGATGACAAAATTGTTATTAATCATCCCTCATCATATTTTGTATACATTTAAAACTTCGTTTTACAGGAGAAGCGTTTACAGTGTCTTAACTTCAATGGTGTGAAGGAGCGAGAGTGGCAGATGGACTCATTAATCCGATACATCAAGGTTGTGGGTGGACCAGCTAACAGGGAAGGTCTACTCTTGGGACTTAAGAATGGGCAGGTGAGTGGCACATGGACCTGTTTAATCCTTTCAGGGTGGGTGCCGTAGTACTACGGCTTTGAGCTCTGTCTTGGTGCCGTAGTAATATGCTAATGAGCTCAGCTCACTCAGATAACCTGTGAGCAGTAAATTTGGGCCTAGGTATGAGAGAATGGGTCTGTGAAGAAAGTGTGCACCATATAAAAAACAAAATCTTGCAGCATGCCATGCATAATGGAGAAAAAATGCAACCATGTTTTTGGTTTAAAACTGAATTTGCGGTGTATTTTCAAATGGTTTTTGTGGTCATATTCTCAGTTTCTTGGTCTCATTTGATAGAATGGAAGATGCATTACAGAATTAGGATGATTTTGATTGGTTTCAGGACTGAAAGCAGTTTGATATTGACCTCAAAGCAGAAATGTTTGTTTTTGCAAGCAGGTGTAATATAGGAGAGGCTTAGGGATGTAACTAATGAACAGAGGATATGTTTTTAGTGCCAAGAATTGTTTATTCTGGACCCTATTTTTAAACTGACAATTTTTTAATTTTGTGTGAAATTGGCAAAATTAAAAAAAAAAAAAAAAGTTAATTTCTTTGCAAAGGTTACAATGTATGCGTATATTTCATAATTTGATTGGCAAAAAGAAAGCAACTATCATGCCAAGACATTTAAGGCAGACTTAACCTAATACAGCCTCTTTTCACATAACAGCGTACTCATTTACTGACGACTCGGACTTACAACAGGCTCTCTGACCAGTATGCATACTTAAATAATGTATATTAGAGCTTATTTCCTCTATTCTGTTTATTACAATATTCAGTACACTACTGTATAAACATTTAATGATATACAAAAAAATGTTAACCCTTTCAGGGCCCAGAGTATCAGCCTGGGTCCAAGAATTTAAAAAAAAAAAAAAAAAAATATTCTTATAGAATTAAGAGAGTATTTTTCTGTACGTAATAAAAAAAAAAAAAATTCTAATCTGTACATACCAAGATATAGAGGCGTGAAATTGACCCTCTGGCCGGGTGTAGGCAACATCTGCGACTTCCATAAAGTCGCATTTTTTTTTTTACGTTTTTGTTAAATTTTTTTTTTCTTTCTAATATTTTTTTCCAGTAACTTTTGTGGCCTGTGAGACCAATATAATATTTATTTCTTTCTTTCGACGCACCAGCCGTATCCCACTGAGGTGGAGTGGCCCAAAAGGAAAAACAAAAGTTTCTCCTTTTAAATTTTGTAATATATACAGGAGAAGGGGTTACTAGCCCCTTGCTCCCAGCATTCTAGTCGCCTCTTACAACATGCATAGCTTACGGAGGAAGAATTCTGTTCCACTTCCCCATGGAGATAAGAGGAAATAAACAAGAACAAGAACTAGAAAGAAAATTGAAGAAAACCCAGAGGGGTGTGTATATACAGTGGAACCTCAAAAATCGAACGTATCACATATTGAACGTTTCGAAAATAAGACCATTTTTTCGAACAAACAGTGTCCCTATTATCGAACACGCCCCTATTTTCGGACCGCCGGGTATGGGACCTGTCCGCTGGCTCGCTCTGTCTGCGTCCCCGCACAGGCACCGTGAGCAGTCTAGCTTTGTTTATGCTTGAGTGAACACTAACCTGCGATCTCGTTCACACATTTTACGATTATTTAATTGTGTTTAGTGCTTGTGGGGCTGTGAAATAAGCTGCCATGGGCCCAAAGAAACTTGCTAGCGGTACCCCTCTGGTAAAGAAAGTGAGAAACACCATAGATGTGAAGAAGGAAATAATACAGAAGTATGAGATTGGAGTGAGACTTCTTGATCTTGCTAGGATGTACAGAGGACTGTGGACAGTTATTTTGTGAGACAGAAACAGACGACTGTGGACACTTATTTTGTGAGACAGAAACAGACGACTGTGGACAGTTATTTTGTGAGACAGAAACAGACGACTGTGGAGGTATTTTGTGAGACAAACAGACGATTGTGGGCAGTTGTTTTGTGAGACAGAAACAGACAACTGTGGACAGTTATTTTGTGAGACAGAAACAGATGACTGTGGAGTTATTTTGTGAGACAGAAACAGACAACTGTGGAGTTATTTTGTGAGACAAACAGACGATTGTGGACAGTTATTTTGTGAGACAGAAACAGACGACTGTGGAGTTATTTTGTGAGACAAACAGACGATTGTGGACAGTTATTTTGCAAGACAGAAACAGACGACTGTGGACAGTTATTTTGTGAGACAGAAACAGACGACTGTGGAGTTATTTTGTGAGACAAACAGACGATTGTGGACAGTTATTTTGTGAGACAGAAACACACAACTGTGGACAGTTATTTTGTGAGACAGAAACAGACGACTGTGGATAGTTATTTTGTGAGACAGAAACAGAGGACTGTAGACAGTTATTTTGTGAGACTGGGGTTCAATGTGTCTCAAGCTGGTCCTAGTGGCATTAAAATACAGAGAATGGAAGCAACCCCAGAGAGGACTTTGATACCGGAAGTCCTCATGGAGGGGGATTCTCCTTCCAAACAATAACCCCAACTCCCTCTCTCCTCCTCCCTATCTTCCAGATGCCATCACCAATCTTCAATAAAGGTAAGTAAAAATGTTATTTTATATTACTGTACGTAAAGACTATAGCATCTGTTGTGTGTATGTAAAACTGTAATTAATCTCTATAAAATGTGTTTTTTTTGTGAATATTTTTGGGTTTCTGGAACGGATTAATTGTATTTCCATTATTTCTTATGGGAAATATTGCTTCGAATTTCAGACTTTTCGAATTTAGAACTAGCTCCTGGAACGGATTAAGTTCGAAATTTGAGGTTCCACTGTATATACTTGCACATGTATGTGTAGTGTGACCTAAGTGTAAGTAGAAGTAGCAAGATGCACCTGAAATCTTGCATGTGTATGAGACAGAATGAAAAGACGCCAGCAATCCTACCATTATGTAAAACAATTACAGACTTTCGTTTTACACTCACTTGGCAGGACGGTAGTACCTCCCTGGGCGGTTGCTGTCTACCAACCTACTACCTATAACCAGTATAATATATTTATGTATTAATGTACACTCATTGTATTCAACACAATACTGCACTAATTTGTTCATCATTATATTGCTTACAAAGCTTGTTTACAACAAAAAAACATGCAAAAATGTTGTATCTAATGTTCTAATATATATTTACATATGTACAGTCACTGGACATGTTCGTAGAACTGCTGCAGTCTGTGGAAGTCTTTGAAACAAGGTGTCAGGCACAGTGGTGTCTTACATTCTTCACACACAAACTGAATGTCTGCATTTTTGTGGCTGTCGTTTTGTTTGTGCACAGAGAACACATCTCTTCTGAGCCCATTTCTTCTTAGTTGAAGGAAGCTGTATTATGAAGCAGCCATCTTCCCACTTCAAACAATTGGGTAATCAGTGATCAGTTCATGTAAGGTTCTGTATAGCAGGTGTTGTGACTGGTACTTGATTATTATTTGTCTGATGACATATGTATAAACAAAGTTCACCATATGATGGTCTGTTGCCGGTATTCATTTGGTACATATTATATGCATTGAAATATCCATGAAAGTGAAGAAAAGTTTCATGTTCCACTTGTAACTCTTACAAACACAATCGGCAAAGCCAATCTGCCTGTCACATTCGTCAACGAAATGCATGTTTTATGTGTAGTTAATCACTGTTGCTGGTTTTAGAATACATTCATTCGTCACTCTATCCACCTGCCAGTGTCTTTCATTTTGTTATGGTGAATGGATGTCAACAGTGTGACATCTCGTTTGTCTTGCCACTGTAATGCCATGGTGTCATTGGCAGCAAACACCTGCACCTCACCACTACAAGTGCCTGCATTGAACCTGGGCATATGTTTATGATTAGAATGCATTGTGCCACGCACGTTTGTTATGTTCACTTGCAAGAAATCAGTGAGTAACGGGCTTGTGTACCAGTTATCAGTATATAATGTGTGCCCCTTACCAAGATATGGTGCCATCATTGTTCTCACTATGTCACCTGAGATACTCAATAACATCCTGGTATCTTTCAGTGTTTAACTTCCTGTGTATACAATTATGTCCAATACCAAGCCACTGTGGCAGTCACAGAGTGCAAACAGTTTTATCCCAAAGTGTTTCCTCTTGGTAGGTATATACTGCTTGAACGACATTCTACCTTTGAGCAAAGTCAAAGACTTGTCAATTACAAGATTCTTGAATGGATAAAAGTACATGCTGAACTTTTGTTTCAGATACATAAAAACATTTCTAATCATGTATAACCTGTCATTTCTGTCAGGCCTAGTTTTGTCAGAGAAGTGCAACATACATAACAGTAAGATAAATCTGGGATGATTTCACTGAAGGCCGGGATAGAAATTAGTTGATCTGTGGACCTTCATGATTTTATATTATGCTTATAGAAATGAGGCATAAGCATTATTGTTGCAAAATAAAATACATTTCAGCCACAGTTGTCTCCTTCCATCGGTGTAGTCTTGACTCTGGTGATAACATTGTATTCGCCATGGTGTACTCAAAATACTTGTTACTTTCCCTAACAATATTTTCCATCAAGGGCTGGTCAAAGAATAGTTCAAAGAATTCCAGTTCATTTGAAGTGTTTCCAAGGGAACAAGATGGCAAGATTCCACTTTGAGTGTCATCAAACTGATGGTGATTGGAAACAAAATTGGGATTTTGCTGCCAATCTCAGATGTGGTTTGCTGGTAGGTACTGGACATCATAAGCTGGTTGTGGTTGTAGTCGGGGTTGTGATTATGCAGGTTGTGGTGTGGTGGTGGATGAAGATGCACTTTGTCCTGCTCCTGATGAGTCAGTGGCCTGGGTCCCAGCCTGGGCTGGTGCCGCATGCTGCGTGCCCGTGATACCTCCACCACTATCCCACCTCCTACTGATGCCTGTGGTCTATCCATACCAATTGTAGCCACATCATCATCACTTTCACTGCTTGTTCCAGGTGTAGGGCCAT